TGCCCCCCTGGGCATCCTATAATACTCCTTAAATCGAATTAATTCAATATGGCCGCCGCATCGGTAAAAAGGTCTATTCGTCAAATGTAGGCGACTTTTCCTGGAATTGAATTCTTAAGGGCTTTATCCATGTTCAAATAGAGAAGCGAGAAACTGTCGCAGTATGTCCACGTCCTCTATAAAACGTCGCATTCGGAAGTTTCACGTCGTAGTCGTGCAGTGAACTTCAAAGAATATACTCACAAGTGTGATGTACGTGCAGAGCAGTTGCTTTGCTCATAAAACCAATTGTTTTTCTGACGTTGTTGTTGTCGTCGTCGTTGCTTAAGGTCCCTAGTACCTTGAGCACCGAACTCCAAATCTAGGATAAGCAAAGGCTGTGACTTAGGGCGCTTCCATTTGTCAGAACTGGCCGGCCGGACCATGGCCGGACTAGTCAGATTGAAAATGAAATAGGCTTTTTCAAGAGTTTTTGCTGAAAATGTTCTCCTTCTTAAATATCATTTACGATTTGACTGGTCAGGCTGAAGAGTTTTGATTAAAAGTGAAATTATCGTTGTGGCGGGAATGGATTGGCCGGTCAGTTCTGACAAATGGAAAGCGTCCTTAGTCATTCATGTTCGGGCCACTTAACTATTCAACTAATTTTACTTGCCCCTCCCCCTCCCCTTCCGAAGGGAGGAGGAAGGGGAATTCACCCCCGCCCTATTCGTCAAACGGTTCCAGTAAGAAACAACGAAATTAAACAAGATACTGTACAAACGTTTATTTAAATTCGATTACAAGCGATATATTGCGTAAAAAAGTGCTTTAGAAGAGAAAGAGACTTCCAGAGCATCAAACCGCTTAATGAAATTCAATATAATTTTTGAAGACTCAAAAAAAATGAGCTATAGAAAAGGAAACCAAAAAAAGTCGTGTTATTATTAGTTCTCTTCCACACTAACACGAGCAATAACAAAAAGCACAAATTGGATGGAGCTTGTATCATCTGACCTAAATATCTATGAATACTATGACATAAAATAAATGTCTGTGGCTCAAAGAAATAAGTAGTGATCCTTTCTAGTATATTTTCAACATGAGCTTGATTTTTCTCTGTTATTTTGAAACCGTTCGAGTTAGAAACACAACTGCCTGGATCACACTGTTAGGGCTGTCACTAAGAGAATGACCCCCAGTTACCTGAGCTTTGATAGAAAACAAAAGAAAAATAGCACCAATGAAATTCTTAACTGTTCAATTCGCCGCCTACTAATTGCTTATTTTTCCGGTAAAAGTAAGGTAAAACCGGGCAACAAAAACGTGCAACGGGCGCGTTTTACTAGCCACGTTCAAATCTGTATTCAGCAACAATTCAGGTTATTGCAGGTTGCGAAAATTTGTTGCGGAAAGGAGAGAGTAGTTCTACTTTTTGCAACAAAATCTGTACAAGTTGCGCGTTTTTGGGACCAAAGGCAAACTCGTTTGCAGCAAATGACGTAACTCCCCCCTGCGTAATTTTCAATCCAAACAAAAGTCAGTATTCACGCACCTTGCAAAAACCTGGTTCGTTGCAAGACAGGTTTGATTCGTTGGAAGTAAAACGCGCAACATCGCCATTTAACTCGTTTAGCAGCAATGCTGCAAAACAAGTTGCATGTTTGTGTTGCCCGCGTTTTATCGTAGCTTAACAGAGAGCACTGTTACCCCTGCATTAAACTACATTAATCATTCATCAACTTCTAACAAGGAGACTAATTAAAAGCTGGTTGGGACGAAATCTCACGATCAAAGTCATTTGGGGCTTAACGATCCTTTTTTGAACCAAAAATTACCGCTGAATAAAAAAAACTAATGATACTAACTAATGATACGAATTCACTGATACAAGGTTAGCCTCGACCTAACGTGAAATAGTCCCAAATACCTGCCGCTGGAAACTCGAAATTTGAGAATAACCAATACAGATTTGTAAAGAGGTCTTCTCCTTAAAACTTGTTAATTCATTCATTTAAGGAGGCTAACCCTGCAAAAGTGCGTCTTCACAGCTTTTATTCAGCGGTCAGAGCGAACTCGAAACTGGCTCAGTTTCGAGTTCGGACTATTCACAAGAAAAAAGGAGCGCTTCCAGATCTTCTTGTTAACTGTGCAGCGATTTTTAGTCTATATGTCGCATACCAATAGGCCTGCCAGTTTCGAATTATTTACACTTCATACTTGGCTCTCAGAGTGAGGGGTATAAAACACAAGAAATTGCATTGTGATTCAGGGATCAGAGGATGAATAATTCGTTTCTTTTGCTTTATCCCCCTCCAACTCAGGGCAGAGTGTGAATTTCCAAAAAAAAAGGATGAATGATTCTAAATAGCTAACCTCTTCTACGCATTTTTGTAACAATAACATAACTTACCGACGGGTCAAAAGAGCCTGCCTTTCCACCCAACAAACGAATTTTTCTAAACTAATCATATATTACGTGTATAGGTCAGTTGGCCATCTCCCACGTGTGTCGTGAACGCTTCACGTCCCCAGGTTTGAATGTACATTCAAGTACTGTGAAACCTGTATTAAGTGGACAGTTACTCATGGCCACTGAGTAATTTTTTATAGCTTTAACCTCTATTCAACGGTCAACCTGTATTAAGCGTTCAGATGGCCATTCCACGAGGGTACAACCGATAAACACGGGACTTTTACTAAACCTTGTTCAAAGCAATGCAGGGCAGTTTCAGCAAGAGCAGTAGAAGCTAGTACAGCAGACTCAGTCATACTGTTTGGAAAACCATATGATTTTTTTGCTGCTCTAAACCTCGCAATCCCATCAAATCAAGAGAAATCGTCAGGAAAATACGTTGTGTATCAAATCAAAATTAACTTTTAAGAAATAAATGTGTACTAATGCCTATGGAACCTCGGAGAGTACAATTATCTTTTTATCGTTTTTTTTTTTACCTAAAAAAAGCTCAACATAGTTTTATATTCTTAGCTAACATGAACATTAACAATTTTTATACCTTGCAGCCCTAATCTCAACCAACAGTTTAAAACTTTTCAGCAACAACAAAACTTTAAGCAAGATTCCAAAGTGAAAAACAATTTTCCCTCTGAGGTATAAGGTGTGGCTTTAAATTTCTGCGAGGGACCGAAATGCATAATTAAAGAGCAGTCAAACAATAACCTCTTGGCTGAAATCAGGGCTTAGAGGGGGTAAAAGCTTACAGTCAACCCTGTATTAAGCAGTCACCCTTCATTAACCAGTCCCATCAACTAAGTTTTATTGTTTTTACCTCTATTGAACGTTCAACCTGTATTCAGCGGTCAGTTGTCTATTTCTCAAGAATGACCACTTAACATAGGACTTTGACTGCATCTTTCACCTGGCAAGTCCACCTATAAATTAACTAAGGTGATCTTTGTTGACACTCTTCAAGTATCCTAATAGAGCACATTTCAGCTTTATATATTTGAAACAATTAAATACCTAATAACGACCGTTTTTCTAAAAAAGCCTTTACACTCATACAAGGGCATACTTTTGCGAACTGGACACAAAATATTCAAAACCTTAATGCTTTTAAATAGGCCATTTTCACTATGACGACATGACTACAACTACCAGAATTCCTTTCGAGTTTGCTTTCTCATTTAAATCCGTCAATCCCGCTGAGGTTTAAAGAACTCTTGCCCTAATTTGCACAAGAAAACAACTGAAGGATTCTGGTAGTTGTACTAAAATGACGTCATCGTGCAATTGTCCTGTAGGTGCTCAAATAATTATGTCAACAAAGACCATCCTATCATCGCGTGCAAATCCACGAACACCAGACTCGTGCTTAAATAAATCTCATCGCCTACCCCCGTGCATTTCCATTGGTGCTCCAGGGTAGGGAGGGGGGTCTTCATACCCAAAGTCGCCTTGAGCATGACGTGGATTTGCTCTCCCTCCCTGGTTTCCCTGTGGACGAGCTCTTGGGTTACGCTGGTTGCGCGGTGGTTGACGTCGTAGAGTCAGCTGACGAGCTGGCTTCCGGTTGGGATTGCTGCTTGGCGTGTGCACGCTGCACAACTTAATGAAACCTGTGGGCGAAAAAGACAGATAAGAGAACAGATTTTAACTCGAAACCCATCCAAATTTTTTTCCATACACTGCAGCCAAACATTTCATTGCTTGACGTTCAAAACCAACAAAGAAACAAAAGGTCACAATTTAATTACCTGTAAATCTGTCTTGGTAAATTTTTAGATGTCAGATTTTTAACATTTATTTCTTGTACATGAGTTAATATTTTTAAGCTTTGTAATTAATTTATCTCGGTGTGGTTTTAGTTTTTACCTTAGCATACAGCTATTTCAATAAAAGTTGTCGGAAAAAGTGCACGCGACAATCCCGAAAGGTATTGTGGGTGATTTTGAGTTTTTCAAAGAAATTTCAAAGAATTGCACGAGAAGCCACGCACCTGTGTTTGCGAGTGCTAAAGGAAAGCAACAAAAGTAGATTCGACAGCTATGGTTTCAGGAAAAGTGCATTGATCATATCCCATATTACCTTTCGGGATTGTCGAGTGCACGGTTTTTGCGACAACCTTTCTCGAAATAGCTGTATATAATCATTGCAAAGCGCTATGAAAGAGTGGCTGAATAGCGCTACATAAGTTATAACTATTTCTTCTTATTATTATTAAATCGCACATATTGTTTAAAACAACAACTTTGCAAGTCTGTCAAACATTTTTGTACCGGTACATTTCTTTGCCCTTTTTGCAAGACTACGACGTGAAATTTTGTATGAAGGATGTTTGACGTTAACAAGAGACGACAACACGTGATTTTTCTTTCTGAACTTGGATAAGGGTCCTAGGAATTCAACTCCAGGAGGGTTCGCCTACTTTTGATAAAATAAATGGGTAACAATAATCCCAGCCATCGCGTCTTCGGATCGTAAAGTCCCAAATGATGCTGGATAACGCGCGCGCCCTACTTATTGTTAAGAAAATCACGGTCTCGTTGTCGTCCTCGTCTTAGAATCTAAAGCTCTCTATTCCCAAAACTACAACAACGGAATGATAAATTTTACCTGCCATGAGTAGAATAAGCCCAACACCCATGAGAAGTACGGCCCACCAGTGTTCCTTGATCCACGCTAAATAACCAAGGATAGCTTCTTTACTAAAGAACTTGTTCTTCAAACGAGACAATGGTCCATCGGCATCCACTGCGCGGCACTTGAGAAACACGTCGCAATATCCGTTGAAGTTGTCGCATGGTGCGCCTGGGAACTGCTGGAGTGCACTCGTGATATTTGATACACCCATGTCTCTTATGGGTTTGCACTCGCCGTCTTCTCCTTGTTTGCAGCACAGATCACAGAGATTTTCCTCCTGTTTACATTGGCATTCCAACAATTGAAACCTCAGGCAAATAGAGCCACTACATTCCTGTGAAACAACAACAATAACAACAAAATTTGCATACAGTAAAAATCCACAAGTAATAACCTGCAATCTTGGACAAAATAAAATGGAACAGCAAACCCCTACCCCCCCGCCCCCCACCCCCCACAAAATCAAGCATAGAGCCGCGCGAAGGGCAAAAACGCGCCATTTTCCCATCCTTGATTCGTGGGGTAGGCGGGGTCTCGGGTTTTCCATTTATTTTGTCTAGGATTGTAGTTTTCAAGAACCAGTTCGGCTAAAATTTTCGCCCCATATAAGGGAATCCATGACAGTCTTGGATTCGAATTCTTTTCCTTGGATTCCAGATCCCAGGCACTGGATTCCAATCTTTGTCCGTAGAACTTGGATTCTGGATTCCAATCGTTAGTAAGATTCCGGATTCCTTGAGCTGTATTTCGGATTCCAGAATCCACAAGCCAAATTTTCCCGGATTTTGGAATTCGCATTCCCTGACATGGGGCGAAAAATTCGGCCGTTAGACCTCCAATATACAAAAACCTATTAAGTACATGTATGTTATCAGAAACTCATTATGAGTGTCTGATGTTATGCTTAATAATCCATGTGGTTGGTGCTTCTTTTGTTCTTATTATAGTCATTTTGTTACATAAATATCTACTTGTAACGTACATTTTAAAAAAACTAATTAGCCGAATACCACTTAGTTTTGTCCGCCACAATAAAACGTTTTTCTTAAGAAAAATAGAACCTTTAATAGCCTAAATTTGTAGTTACTACCATGTAAAAACCTGTTTAAGCTAACTTAAGAAAATGCAGCTCCTTTACTTTAGAGGGTCCCCAATAGGGTCCTTCAATTCCGTAATCCCGACCCGAAATTTCGCGCAATTCCCTAATCCCGAGGGTCATTTTTGGCATCACACCTCCCGCGCATACCGTCAATCCCGAATCTCGCCCCGATTTTGCTTTTAAATCCCGAGCTTCAAATAAGGGAAGTCCCGTATCCCGAAAACCCTATTGATGACCCTCACTTTACTATATCATGATTAGAGTGACTTATCTTCAAGAGAGACAGCATCAGAGTGTAATCTTACCCCTGATAAACAAACTTGGGTTCCACCGTTACACACAGTCAAGTTGGCTTTGGGTACCGGTGTGGGGCAAGAGGCGTTCACTCCACTGTATATTGAGTCAAGGAAGTAACAGAAATTCAAAAGGCCAAGGTGCTCCTTAAAGGGGCTATGACACGGTATTTGCTATCTTTTAAAACCGCTAAAACATGTCTTCGGATCAATCGAATTCCAAAAATATTGGTCCAGTATTATTTTAAAATAACAATATTAGTCCAGCATTGTTATTCAAGACTATATTTAGGCATTGAAACTGTTTCCTGTCGTCTGTAGCTACGAATGGCAAGGATGGACATGGATTGTAACTTGACAAAATTGGGCGAACTTCTTTGATTTTCAATGTCATGCCTGAATAATCACCTAATAAATCATTATGGTTAGTGCTCCCTAAAGAAATTTGTCTGATATCTTCTTCACAACTCTACTAGCCCTGCGAAAACATCCGTTTCTCCTCGCTCTTCGCCGCTGGGGGCGTTCCGCGCGGAGGAACGTCTGCAACTCAGCGGCACAAATTCCATACTGATGACGTAAATCAACATTTACGTAATAAATCCGGTAGTCATAGGGTTCCAAAGATAACTTTGTCCAATTTTGCGTGTCTTCTGGTCGATTTTGGTGAAGTGCTGTGTTCATCTGCCAATGAGCTCCAGCCAAACTAAAATGCTTCTTCTAGAGAAGACTATATTCCAAAAATATTGACTGTTTCTTCGCGTTTACATTTGACCTTTGTGGCCTTTTGTCTCTCATTCGTAAACAATAACTAAAACAATTTAACTGCTCCGTCGACCAATCAGCGCCTCTGACCGGATTCCGGACAGATTTTACGTCATCAGTATGGAGTTTCGGCCGCTGAGTCGCAGACGTTCCTCCGCGCGAAACGTCGCCAGCGACGAAGAGCGAGGAGAAACGGATGTTTTCGCAGGCTACGACTCTACAAGAGCGTTATTTTTGTGTATCGGTATTGACCTGAAACAGCGATATCTTCGAGCCATAGCCTCATCAAAGTGAGCACAATAGTCAGAACTGGGGCAAACATTGATACAAGAATCAACAATACATTCGATCGAGAAAGCAGGTCAATGGCCGACTAGTGTGGCACTTGATACACACACTCTTATGGGTCTGGGGGGTGTCGACATAATAGGCAGACTTAGTAAGATAGAAATAATAATTAAAAAGTTCTTTCTTAAAGTGCGCTACTGGATAGTCAACGTTCCGACGGTGGGCCGGTGGAGTGTTGTTGGAGCTCTGCAGTAAAAACCGTTCTTAAAGGTAACTGTGTTGGCTCTAATCGTATTCAGAGGAGAGAGTGCGCCTGGGTCTAGTGGGGTACATTACTGAAATAAAAATTCGTGCCAATACCACAGAGGTGAAAGCCCTGCTTTCAAAGCCTCTGCTCATAACTAACTTTGGACCGATAAAGCAAGGATAAAATAAATTTTGTTGCGCGCCGCTGAATTCTTTCGATGTCAAGGATAAGAACGACAGCTGAGGAGCTCACACCTTCGAGCAGTATGCGAGCTGAGGTTGCTGTCACTTGTTCATCGGTTGTTCATGGCGATGATTCGACCGCGTACTGCCGGTCTTCGTCAGATAATGGTGTCGATTTACTGAGCAGGGGCGCGTTTCTCGAAAGTCCCGATAACTAACGGGCCCGGTAAGCTGTCTCCTTTTACATTTAAGATCGAGGTTTCAATTGTTTTGTATCTAACATGATAAAACTATCAGCTAATGAAACAAAGTGGAGTAGTTTGCGAGCCAGGACCCGCGCTCTTATAATTTATATTTCGACTTGAATATTTGATTTCGGGTCCGAAAAGTTACCAGGACTTTAAGTAGCATGGTGCGGGTTGCTAGTGATCAGTGGGTTTCGATCCAAAGCAGTGCTGGTAATAATAGAGGACGACATTGCCTGATGAAGTCAGAAGACCTGCAGTATGTGGTTGAAACCTTGCGATCCGCCTGAACTAAGTGATTATCGTGAGACAAACGATAAAAAACGAACCCCTTAATGAACATGTAGCTTCTTACGCAGGTGTTTTT